AAAAAAAAAAAGCCAGATTAAAAGAAAACAAAAAACAAAAAATAAGAAACCCCACCAATTATTAAATAACAGAATTCATGAAAGAAGCAGGAACATCTAGAAGGATGCTCCCTGTAGAGGAAAAGTGGATACAGATATATTTGTGTACATTTGACTTAATGGGAAATGAAAAGTTAGAGGAATGAAGCAATTCAAGAACGGACTGAGGGACCACAACAATCACTAGCCGTACACAGTCTAAGGGACAGTGTTGATTCTGAATTCACAACGGCACACCATCCACCAGGACCACGACTTCTGGTTGCATGACTTCTGAATGCCATGTTGCACTTACAGGGTTCATTTTTGCTAGACCAACACAACAGGGCAGCAGCACACATGAGCTTAAGTTACTTCCATCTGTCCAAGTCTAGTCAGACAACCAGGCTCAAGCCTGTCTGTTGGCAAAATTGGAAAGGTATCCTCCACAAGGGGATGGATGTGCCATCTTTACTAAAATTTGAGTTCCTGATCAAAGATTCTGAGGAAGTCCTAAGGGAAGGGAGACCAGTTTTGGGGAAGAGACTGTTTGTGCAGCAATATAAGCAGCAGAATTTGAGCAGTTTAGGAACTGGGTCTCTAGTCACAGACTAGCAGAAGCAGAGTGCTGGGAACAGCAACGGTTCCACCTGCGAGGTGAGTGTCACAATGGCACCGTAAAGCTGCTCTAAGACTGTGTTCGCTTGGCAGCTGCCCTGTGTGTGCCCACCCTCAGGACCCGGTAGGAAAGGGGCTTTTTCCTTTTTGTTTCAGCTGACTTCCGGCCAGAACAGGTTTTCCATAATTCTACCTAACACCCTCCTCTCATTAAATATGGCCAAACCTCGTTTTTAATAAGGAAAAAAAAAATCTACACTCATCTGTCCTCCCTGCAGGTAAGATTTAGTGGAATACCTACAGAATTACCCACCAAAGACCAGTCTGATTTTCAATTCTAGTGACCTCTTGTAGATAAGCTCTATGGTTCCCCCAAAGTACACATTCTCCATCACTATGGCAAACCCAGTCTACTGAGATAGAGTGTGTTCTTGCCTTCTAGCTAGGAGTTGATAACCTGACTGCCTGGTCGTCACAACTCAGGACTGACATTGACTGGTCCCAGTGCCTGTGCTCACTGGAAAGCACTCTGTTTCTATTTCTACAAGACATTCATCTCTCTTCCTGGTGAAGACATGCATTCTACAAGACAATGTGACACAGGACCAACTCATTATATAGTTACAAATTTAGAACCAAGAAAATAAATACTGCTGGCATGTCTTCTTAATGCAGCTTCTTCCTGTTTTGGTATGCCCATCTCAGAATCTAGCCAAAATGCTGGTGAGAAGTCCAAGAAAAATGAAGAAGCCATCTGTAAAATGTCAATGTTCTGGTCAACAACTCGGGTCTAGACATAGCTTAAGTCCTCAGAGCCCCAAGATGGCTCCAATGATCACAGCCCCCAGGTGCTCAAGCCATCACCAGTCCATAGTTTTCACTACTAAGGTGGTTTTTACTCCTACTGCTAGGATCGGACTTAGGCCTTCTGCATGCTAAGCAGATGAACTAGCACCAGACCCCGGGTAGTTTTTTATGTAGCATCTACAGTGCATGTAGATTCTGTTGATCGTTACACTGAGCTGTTAACTGGTGACACTGAGGCTAGTGGTCAAATACTGGACACAGCAGCCAGTGGATGTCTAAAATGTGTGCAGCCCAGTTCTCTCTCGGTATCTGTCCTGTAACTGTAATGTGCTGTAACTATCATGTTCTAAGACCGCAGACTGTCCTGGTGTGACAGATTCCAAAAATTCAACTCTAGAAATTAATGTATTTGTTAATTTCCCAGGTTCATTTGTTATTGAATTCACTTCTATTGGTATTGAGTATCTACAAACTTTTAGCGATTTCTCTAACTTTTAAACCTTTATTTCCTGTAAGCAAGCTTAACAAATTCTTTAAAATACCATTTCAAAAAGTTAGAACAAAACTAGGTTTTATTTTCAAATTCTAATTTTAATCCGACTGAACACACAAGCAGAAGTGAGGAAACTGTGTAAGCAGACACAGATGTACCAAATGTGAAACAATGAGTTATTAACACAACTATTTACATGCATTATTTACAAGCAACCCTTGACATTCAGTTTTAGTTAGTTGGAAAAAGATTTGACATTAGGTAAAAACATGACTTCAACAGGGCTGAGGTGGTACATTATAGTAAAAGTATTAGAAAAGTGATTTCACGGTATATAAATTATAAAGCAGATGAAAACCTGAATGACAAATACCTAGTAAAATTCTCTAGTAAAAAGTCAATGCAACCCATGCTCTGAAATAAAAATGAGAACGCCATATAAAGAGAGCAGAGTAATGCTGTAGGATGGAGGTGATGAAGTCAGTCATGTGAAACACACAGAGCAAACGACTGGAAGAAATCCTCAATCAAGTCTTGGCTCCTTAGCTGGTGTTCTAAACCCCACCCACCCCTCAATGACAGTTTAAAAGCCCTTGATATCAAATAGCA